GAGAGAGGGGGAATGAAGGGGGTCAGAGGTCAAGGGTCAAATATGGGAGCATTTCAAACAGAATTTTAGAACATAGGACAATTTTAGTTAACTAGCCTCAAATACAGGTGATTTGTGAATCAAATTTGGACTTTACAGCAACTATGGTCTAGTTAACTTGTTCTTAAACTATGGAACGCAGACCACTTGCAGTCTGATTCCCATTAGGATGAGTTGGTAAATACAGCTTGTTTATATTCTCACTCGCTCTGGGTTGTATGCATGTCTATGTATGTGTGTGTAATTTATAATAATTAAATGTAAGTGTCAGTGGTAGTGGTACTTCATCATGACTTTAGCTGATACATAGTCTAATGTTCTCATTAGTAACAAACTCTTTTTCATATACTGCGCTCGGCTGAACACAGTAGTACCAAAAAAACCATTGGTTCAGCTAATACCAAAAATAACTTTTGTATAAGATTACAGTACATTAGTGTAAGATGCAATGAAGTGGTCTTTGCAGTATAGGCTATTGACGCTAAAATAAATACTTTCTTCTGTTAGTGTGGTTCTACAGCTGTATGTCTTTACAATATCAGGCATTTTGAATAGAAACATACAGTCTATTACAAGGGTCTGTAACTGTAGCAACAGTTTTACGGAATTAGTGGTATTTATTTTTCAAATATTGCCGGTATTTTTCGGTAGAATATTGACAGACTGACCATCGATAGCTTGCCTCAGTCGCTGGTTTAGCTCCTCCACTTTGTTCTGTAAGAGACAGAGCCAGAGTGACTCCAGGTTATAGCCTCGTACAAGGGTCACTTTCAAACCTCTCTGGCCCCTACTTTTTACACGCAACTGCAAAAAGATTGGAGATTGAAAACAATCTCTTGCCAGACATCTTGATGGGAATCACAAACACAGAGTGTAGATTAGCTGGACCAGTGTGCTGCAGAGCTGGGCCTCACACACAGGCAGATCGAATGTGGAGACTGAATATTTGTTTCTCTGGGAGTAAATTTCAGGATTTGGTTTAAGAATGAATGTGGTGGAACAGGACTCCAGCTCTGCAGCAGACGGCAAAGAAGCAACAAGCTCATTTCAGTTTTCAGAGACAAAAACTGAAAAGAGGACAAAACACAGCAGTTTTTTAACAAGTCATGCAGGCAACACAACCACATGCAGTTGAGTCTAAGCCTCAGTGATGCTGATGTGAAAGTGAAGAGTGAAGAAAATCCTCTTTTGAAATCTCTTTACTTCATGGGATTTTCTGAATTTATTTCTAAACAACTAAAACAGACATGTTCAACATCTGGTTAACTGGCCTGTTGTGATTCTTGGAAGTATTATGTTCCCTTCAAGTACAGGGCATGTTTTAAAATATTTAAATCTTAGATCTTACTATAAATTCAAACTTGAAATTATGTTTTATTCATGTTTA